GGTTTCAAAATCACAAACCTCTCCAAACTTATTAGATAAAATAGACTGAGGCGGATTGGGGTTGGGGCTCAGTGGTAGAGTGCTCACCTAGAACACGCAACGCCCTTGGTTTGATCCTTAGCATCATGTAAAAATAAAATTAAGGTATTGTGTCCACCTACAACTAATATATATAAATTAAAAAAAAGATTGAGTCCCTTGGCTAGAGGTTAGGGACTTCACATATTCATTATATGCCCAAAGACCAGGATTTGCTGAGTCTCCAGAATGCGGATAAACTAGGCATTCTAGGCCAATGGAGGCAGAATTATTCAGGACCACGTCAGACAACTGCAGAAACAAGACACCTGGGAATATTACTGGAGAAGCACCAAATCAATACCCAGTCTTTCACTTTCATATCCTATCAGTGGAAATCTAATAATTTGTCTGTTCTCATTTGAAATGAGGTAGGTGGGTCATGACTTTACAATTTTCATTTTTTAAATTAAATTTATTTATTTATGTTTTGTGATGCTGGGGATTGCACCTAGGTTCTTGCACATGCTAGGCAAGCTAGGCAAGCATTCTATCACTGAGATATGACCTTGGCCCATAATTTTTTTATTTTATAAATAATGTTGTAACAAATACTTCTGCACATAGATCCCTGAGCATTTGTGAAATAGATTCCTAGAGGTAGAGTTTCTAATTGGATACTGCCAGATTATCTTCTCCAATCATTATATCCACCAATACCATTTGATAGTGTCCTTTCTCCCAACACAATCCTGACTATTATCTGTTTATTTATTTAGTCATTTTTTATTTTTTGGTACTGGAGATTTAACCCAGGGGCGTTTTACCACTGAGCTACACTCCAGGCTCCCCTACATCCCCGATTTTTTTTGAGACAGGGTCTCATTAAGTTGCTTAGGGCCTTGCTAAGTTACTGAGGCTGGCCTTAAACTTGCAATTCTCCTGCCTTAGCCTCCCAAAAGATTACAGGTGAGCCACTGTGCCTGGCTATTTATTTATTTATTTATTTATTTATTTTGCAGTGCTGGGTATTGAATCTGGGATCTTACACGTGATAGGCAAGTGCTCTACTACTGAGCCACATCCTCACCCCACTATTATCTTTTAAAAATGTTTTTCTGCTGGCTACAGTGGTATGTACTTATAATTCCAGTGGCTGTGGAGGCTGAAATAGAAGGACTTCAAGTCCAAGATTTCAAGTCTCATTAAGTTGATTAGGGCCTTGCTAAGTTGCTGAGGCTAGCCTTAAACTTGCAATTCTCCTGCCTTAGCCTCCCAAAAGATTACAGGTGTGAGCCACTATGCCTGGCTATTTATTTATTTATTTTGCAGTGCTGGGGATTGAACCTGGGATCTTACACATGATAGGCAAATGGTCTACCACTGAGCCACATCCTCACCCCACTATTATCTTTTAAAAATGTTTTTCTGCTGGCCACAGTGGTATATACTTATAATTCCAGAGGCTGTAGAGGCTGAAATAGAAGGATTTCAAGTCCAAGACCAGTCTAGGCAACTAAGTAAAATCCTGTCTCAAAATATAAAAAGGTCTAGGATGTAGCTCAATGGTACAGTGCCCCTGGGTTCAATCCTTAGTACTGCAAGAAAATAAATAAATAAAATGATTTCCTGCTGGGCGTGATGGTGCATGCCTATAATCCCAGCAGCTCAGGAGGCTGAGACAGAAAGATTGAGTTCAAAGCCAGCCTCAGTAAAAAGTGAGGCACTGAGCAACTCAGTGAGACCCTGTCTCTAAATAAGAAACAAAAAGGGTTGGGGTTATGGCTCAGTGATTGAGTGCCCCTGATACCCAAAACAAAAACAAAAGATTTCTCATCTATCCTTAGTGGAAAATACTAGGAAAACATCAATACTGTTATTTAACATTATGCTGAAAAATCTAGCCAATGAATTAGACAAGGAAATTAAATATGAATATTGAAAAGGATAAAGCAATTGTTGCAATTGATATTGTATACCTTTAAAATGCAAAAATAAGTTAGAAAACTGTTAAAGTAAGTTTCATGGGCCTTTGACATAATATTAGACTTGGTATTTATTCTACTATTAAAAAACTAGAAAACTGGGTAAAATACATGAAAAAATGTTTTTGGCAATGAAAAGGGAGTGTAACTCAGATCCCCAAGAGAAAGAAATCAAGTGGGGTAAGTCCCACCATCACTTTGGCTTCCTGAATTGGGTTACAAAAAGGGGAAATCGAACTGGATTTATCAGACAGCAATTATTATTCAGGAAGATGACACCCAGAAGTTATAGGGCAGAATACCAGAAAGGAGACAATGATGTAGGCAAAGAGATCAATAAATTTGCACAGGAGCTGGGCATAATGGCGCATGCCCGTAAACCCAGTGGCTTGGGAGGCTGAGGCTGGAAGATCTTGGGTTCAAAGCCAGCCTCAGCAATAGCTAAGCAACTCAGTGAGACCCCTTCTCTAAATAAAATACAAAATGGGGCTGGGGATGTGGCTCAGTGATCAAGTGCCCCTGAGCAAAAAAAAAAAAACTCTGCACAGGAGTCCCTAGAGCCTGTGCTGAACACAACCTATATACATGCAGGGTAAAACAGCAAGAGTCCTGCTGTATTAGTCCTTTCTCCCAACCTCCCAACACAATCCTGACTAGTCAGCTTTGCATTGCTGTGACAAAATAACCTTAGATACACAATTTAAAAGGAGGAAAGATTTATTTTGGCTTGTAGTTTAAGAGGTTTCAAAAGTCCATGGTCACTTGGCCCTGTGGCTTTAAGCCTGTGGCAAGGCAGGAAACACATGATAGAGCTTAGCTGCTTACCTCAAGATGACCAGGAAGCAGAGAGAGAGGGGAAGGGGTGGGAGTACCCTAATTCCCTTCAAGGGCACACCCTAATGACTTAACTTCCTTCCACTAGGCCTCACTTCTTAAAGGGTGCACCATCTCCCAACACCACCACAAGCTCTGCCATTGTAGCAAAAAAATCCTGCCATAAATGACATGCAATGAATGATCGTGGCTGTGTTCCAATAAAACTTCATTTACAAAAGCATAAAGCGATCCATATTTAGCCTGTAGGCTGTGAGTTGCCAGACCCACTACATGTGAAGCTATATAACATGTGATGTGTGACAAGTTATATGCATATTATGATGAGGGAAAGTGTATATTGTAACCCCTTGAGCAAGCACTAAAAGTATAATAGATTAAGCAGATGAGCTCATGGTGGAGACCAAATACTAAGAAATGCTCAATATTCTTTTACTGAAGTAAGGTATGGAAAAAAGGGAAAAGGAAGAAAAAAACTAATGGCATACATACAAAACAAATAGTAAGATAGTACTTTTATCTCTCTATATTAATACTTACTTTAAATGAAAATAGTCAAAACTCCATTTAAATAAATTATTAGGGGCTGGGACATAGCTTAGTGGTACAGTACGCATAGTTAGCATGCGTTAAGTTCCTAGGTTCAGTCCCCAGCCCACATGCAAACACACACATACAAGGTAACTGAAAAAGGAAAACTCAAATATTAAAAATATCAAATATCAAATATTCAGAAGTATACTATGAACACACTAATTGTAAGTGAACTGGGATGGCCAGTAATATTAATATCAGACAAAGCAGGCTTAAGAAAGAAATATTACCAGCCCTAAAAGATATAATTATGAAAGGATTAATTCATCAAGAAGATATAACAAAAAAAGGTATTTATGTATCAAATAACAAAGCTTCAAAAACTAGTAGAAATGAAAAAGAAAACAAGGAATTTCACAATTATAGTTTTGTATTTCAACACTCCTCTAAGTAATTAATAGAAAGAGAAGTTGGAAAATCAATAAGATTATAAAACATTTGAGCAATACTATCAACCAACTTGACTAAATTGACATTTAGAATATACACTACAGCAAAATATATGTTTTTAAAAAATGAACAGCAATCATTCACCAAGATAAATCATATGTTAGGCCATAAAACAAGTTTTAAATTAAAAAAACTAGGGATGAAGCCAGGTAGTAGAGTGCCCTTGGGATTCAATCCTCAGTACTGCAAAAAAAAAAAAAAAAAAATCAATGAGTTAAGTTTCAACTTAAGAGGGGCTGGGGTTGTAGCTCAGAGGGAGAGCGCTTGTCTGGCATGTGTGAGACACTGGGTTCGATCCTCAGCACCACTTAAAAATCAATAAATAAAATAAAGGTAGTGTGTCCATCTACAATTAAAAAAATATATATAAAAAAAGTTTCAACCTAAGAAGCTAGAAAAAAAGGAGGTAAACTCAATGCAAGCAGTGGGAAAGAAATAATAAAGACAAGATCAAAAATGAATGAAATGGGAATTGAACAAATGCTAGAGAAAAATCAATGAAACCCAAAACTCGTTTTCTATATCATTACCAATAAATTAATCAACATCAACAAAACTGATCAATCTCTAGCAAGATCAATCAAGAAAAAAAGAAAGAGACATAAATTAAAAATATCAGAGATGAAAGAGGGAAAACAGATCCTACATTAAAAGAATAAGAACTAGGGCTGGGGTTGTGGATCAGGGGTAGAGCGCTCACCTCACACGTGCACCACCCTGGGTTTGATCCTCAGCACCACATATAAATAAATAAATAAATAAAGGTACTGTGTGTCAACTACAACTAAAAAAAAAAAAATACTAAAAAAAAAAAATAAGAAGAACAAACCAGGTACAGTGGTGCATGCCTGTAATCCCAAGGCAAGACGATCACAAGTTCAAAGCCAGCCTCAGCAATTTAGTGAGGTGAGGACCTAAGCAATTTAGTGAGACTTTATCTAAAACTAAAAAGAACTAAGGATGTAGTTCAGCGGTAAAGCACCCTGGGTTAAATCCTCAATATCAAAAAGAAAAGAAAAAAAGAATAAAAATAAAATATTATAACCAAAAGAAAATAAACTTAATGAATCAAATGAAATGTAAAAATTCCTTAATCAAGATAATGATCAAGGAGTCCACCTCTTGGGTCCCCTTCTTCCTCCGGAGAAGTCTTTTCTGCTGTCCTTTAATAAACTTCTAATTTCTACTCTGAAAAAAAAAAAAAGATAATGATCAAAATACACGCTAGAAAAAAAAAATGGAAAATCTGAACTGCTATGTAAATTAAGGAAATCAAAGATATAATAAAAGAAATAAAAAATATGATTTATTTTAGTAGTGCTGGGGATTGAACCAGGGATGCTCTACCACTGATGCTCTACATCCCCACCCCTTTTTATTTTTAGACAGAGTCTCACTAAATTGCTGAGGCTGGCCTCAAACTTGCAATGCTGCCTCAGCCTCCTGACTAGCTGGGATTACAGGTGTGCACAACTTTATCTGGCTGAAAATGTTAAGTTTTAAAACTTTCCACAAAGATACTCCAGGCCCAAATGGCTTCAATGTTGACTTTTTTGGTGTGGGGGAGAGCAGAGCAGCACTGGGCATGGAACCCAGGGGCACTGGACCACCAAGCTGCATTCCCAGCCCTTCTTGTTTTTTATTTGGAGATAGAGTCTCTCATTAAATTGCTGAGGTTGGCCTAGAACTTGTCATCCTCCTACCTCAACCTCCAGAGTCCCAAGGGTGTGTCACTGTGCCCACTTCATTGTTGAACTCTGTCAAACCCTAAAAGAAGAGATAATACTAGTCTCCACTGTGATAATTTGAGAGGTGGTAGGTAGGACCTTCAGCAGGTAGAGCCTGAAGTGGGAAGTCATTAGGTCTCACTTGGGGTTGCAGCCCTGGGAAGAGATTAAAGTAGTTCTATGGCACTCCGGATGCAATTGCAAAAATGAATTGTTATAAAAGATCTCCTTTCTGCTTTCTGGTTTCCTGTTTTACCATGTGATCTCTCCCTCTTGCTCGTGTTCCCATCATGGTGCCATCTGCCAAGACATGATGCAGTCAAGGGGCCCTCAACAGAACTGGTGCTACACTGTCTGGACTTTCTAGTCTCCAAAACCATAATTGAAATAAATTTATTTTCCTTATAAAGTTCCCAGCCTCAGGTATTTTGTTATAGTAATGGAAAATGAACCTAATACAAACATATACAAAATTTAATTTGAAATGAATTATAAAACTAAATGTAAAAGTTAAATTTCTAGAAGAAAACATGAGAAAAATCTCTGATTTGCTTAGGGTAAGCAAAGTTGTTTTGTTTGTTTGTTTTGGGTATTAGGAATTGAACCCAGGGGCACTTTACCACTAAGCTACATCCCCCTATAGCTTCATGCATCTGAGGCAAACATTCTACCACTGAGGTACCTCTAGCCGCTATAAAATATTTCTTTTCTTTTGTTTTCTTTTTGGTACAGGGGATTGAACTGAGGGACATTAACCAATGAACCACATCCCCAGCCCTTTTTTGTATTTCATTTAGTGACAGGGTCTCACTGAGTTGCTTAGCACCTCACTACATTGCTGAGGCTGGTTTTGAACACTCGATCCTCCTGCCTCAGCCTCCTCAGCCACTGGGATTACAGGTGTGTGCTAAAATATATAATATTTTTTAGTTGTTGACGAACCTTTATTTCATTTATTTATTTATTTATTTAATTTATTTATTTGTATGCGGTTCTGAGAATCAAACCCAGTGTCCTACACATGGTAGACAAGTGCTCTGCCACTGAGCCACATCCCCAGTCCAAAATATATTTCTTAATGAGGATTTTGGTAAAAGAAAAGAAAAAAAAAAACTTTTTGAGAAACACTGGTTAAGCCATTCAACAACAGAACTGTCCCCTTTGCAAAGTGGCGAGTTCTATGCCACTACTGTGACACAGGTAGACTGTCACCAACTTAGGGTGAATGCATTTGGCAGGAGGTAGGACTGTGTGATCTGTGCAGAGTCTTCCAACTTCAATACTTTAAAAATTATTTTGTTGTAGTTATATATTATACTACATATGTTCATGCTTCTTACAATAAGAACCTAAAATAATCAATTTGTATTGTAAGATGCCAGCACAAGTTGCTAGGTTAGGTTTAGTATATTTGTTTTGCTTTCTTGGTATTGGGGATTGAACCCAGGGATGCTTAACCACTAAGCTACACCCCCAACTTCTTTATATTTTATTTTAAGACAGTCTCACTCAATTGCCCAGGCTGGCCTCAAACTTGTGATTCTCCTGCTTTAACCTCCCAGGGGTTATAGGCATAGGCCACTGAATCTGGCAGTGGTTGGGTTTTGTTTTGTTTTGTTTTTTTAAAGGAATGAAGTTCCTATTTATTTATTTATTTATTTTAATTTCAGTTGTAGATGGACACAATACCTTTATTTATTTATTTATTTATATGTGGTGCTAAGGATCAAATCCAGTGCTTCACACATTAGGCAAGCACTGTGCCACGGAGCTATAGCCCCAGCCCCACATTTTGGTTTTTTGTTTTTTTTTTTTAAAGTCCTCAAAACAACAGAAACTATTGGTTCCACAATGTATATTAATTGTTTTAGATATATTTTAATGTTGAGTATGTGTACTTATAATATTCAGTATTTTCTGGATGAGGACAGATAAACAAATCCATTCTCCTAAAGAGATATTGGTCAAAGGCCTGGTTGGGGGAGAATTTGTCAGATGTATATGGAAAAGAGCAGATAGGGAATTCCATCCTGCTTCTGAGTAATTCTGTCAAAAACAGGCAATTTGCCTCAATTACTCAAGACATTTATGTTACATCACCACTCAGCTAATACAGCCCCAGATATAAAGTGGCCAGAGTATTACATCACAGTTCACCAGAACATTTTTTTCTAGTACTGGGGATTAAACCCAGGGCCTCCCGCTTGCTCGGCAATTGCTCTACCACTGAGCTACACCCCTCCCCACTAAAAATTCTAATGTATCAATCAGTGAAGAACTTGGTACTGGAATGGAATAAGGATAGTAAAATACCATTTATCTAGAATTCCCAGGGATGAGTCATTCTGGTGGCACTTTTTTTTTTTTTTTAGGGATTAAGAACTATGCAAAGTAATTAAGGCCCTTTTGGCTCTCAACTACAGAAGTCATAGGAATCTGTGCTGTCACTCAATGCCATTCAAACCCTGCAGTGTCTTCAGGACAGTGCAAGTGTGCAGTCTGCTCACTGTGCCCATGGCTTCAAATTAGCAAATGCAAAACTGAGATAAAGGATTTTGTACAATGTCAGAACATGGAACTGGTATCAGCTGAGCACGGTGGTGTATGCCTACTCAGAAAGCTGAGGCAAGTGGATTGCAAGTTCAAGGCCAGCATGTGCAACTTAGTGAGACCTGTCACAAAATAAAAAATAAAAAGGATGGGGGATGTATCTCAGTGGTTAGCGTGCTTGTCTATCACATATGAGGCTCTGGGTTCAATCTCCTAAACTAATAAAACAAAACAAAACAAAACAAAATTAATAGATACCTTATAAGAATTTTTTCTTTTGCATGCTGGGCAAGTGCTCTACCACTGAGTTACACCCCAGTCCTGTAAGGATGTTAAAGAATGATGTAGTCAGTGGGGAATGAAATAAACAAATTATATGGTTATACTGTGTGCATATGCAAATTTCTAACAATGAATCTCACTATTATATATAATTATAATGCACCAATAAACACACACACACATACACACACACTCACACACAAATAATATAGTTAGTCTACCTGCTTTAAAAGTGTATCCTGTTGGGGCTGGGGTTGTAGGTCAGTGGTAGAGCACCTGTCTAGCATGTGTGAGGCACTGGGTTTGACTCTCAGCACTGCATATAAATAAATAAAATAAAGGTTCACCAACAACTTAAAAAATTTTTAAATTGTATATCTTGTTGGATATGAAACCTAAATGCAGTACATAACTCTCTAGGCATGTCTCAAAACACAAATTATTTACATCAGGAGACCCCAAATAACTATTTATACCTAAAAACATTTCAGTACTTAAAAACAGCCTGGGATTCAAGTATACCAGAATCCTGGACCACTAAAACCTTGTACTACAATTACATGCAATTCCAAACACTATCTGTATACTAAAAATCCCATATTATTCATGTCCACTATAGCCAATAACATACACCCAGGTGCCTCCTGGAGCACTCCACTTGCATTCATTCAATTAGTAACATACGCGCAATTTAAGAGGCTCTGGGCATCCTGACATGACTGAGACAAGCTCTCATTCTAAAAAAGGAAAACAAAGTTAAAACAAGTTGGTGCAACATCATGAATGGCACAGCTGAAGTGTTTAGGGAGCACAAAGAAGGGAAGGGGCAGAAAAGGTGTGGGTTGACTTGTAACCCCGGAAATGATATGCAAAAGTCCTAACCCCTGACACCTAGGAATATGAACTTATTTGTAAGTAAAGTCTCTGCAAATACAATTAAGTTCAGCTGGGTACAGGGGTGCACGCCTGTAATCCCAGCAGCTTGGGAGGCTGAGGCAGGAGGATTGCAAGTTAAAGCCAGCCTCGGCAATTTCGCGAGGACCTAAGCAACTCAGCAAGACCCTGTCTCTAAATAAAATACAAAATAAGGCTAGGGATGTGGCTCAGTGGTCTAGTGCCCCTGAGTTCAATCCCTGGTAACAACAACAACAAATATATATATATATATATATATATATATATGAAATCAAGTTCATATGGAACTCAATTAAGGTGGGCCGCTAAAGCCACCAACTAGGTCCTGGAGACATGAAGACATAGAGAAGACAACGGAGGGAGATGGCCGAATAAGACAGAAGCAGAGATTGGAGTGACACCGTAGAAAGGCAAGGAGCATCAAGAACAGCTGACAGCCACAGAAGCAGGCAGAGGCCAAGAGTCTCTCCAGAGCCCTCAGAAGGAGCACGGCCCCTGCTGACCTCTTGATTTCACACTTCTAGCCTCCAGAACTGAAGAAAAAATAAACTGATATTGTTTTAAGCCATCTGGTTTGTGATAATTTGTTACAGCAGCACTAGGAAACTAATACAGAAAGCTTCTAGGTGAGGTGAGCCTGGAGTTGAAGCTGGAAAGGCAAGCAGGTTTTCACCAAGAGAAAGGAACGACATTCTAGGCAGAGATCATTTGAGCAGAGGTGAGCAGTCATCAAACAGATGGGCGTGTTCAGAAAACAGAAAGTATGCTGCTCAGTGTGGCCAGGGCACCCAGTGCAAGAGATGGAGAAAGTGGAGATGATACAGTGTGTTTGCCTTGTTACAGAGTTTGGACTTAACCCTGTACATGCTGGGGGCCATTAAATGGTTTTTGTGTAGAGGAGAGAGGCAACTTGGTATTTGATCAGACAGCAGAGGAGTCAGAACACAGCAGTAAGACCCGGAAGAAGGCAGCTGTAATGCAGGTGAAAAAGGGAGGGTAGAAAGGAGTCAAGGAGGCAGAATGAGCAGGGCTTGGAAGTAATAGAAATAACAATGGACAAACAACAGGGGATATGAGATCAAATTAGTGGATTTAAACCCTGCTCTGCGGCAGTCTACACTACCATCTCCTCACTGGCAAGTAAGAGAGCTAAGACTACTGCGCCGGAGGGGACTAGAAAGACTCTAGGAGACATTGCAACTGCAAATAGGCAACAGGCACCTGGTTTAATGTAGCTGCCTGTGAGCTGCTGCCATTATTATGGATCACCAAAAGATGTGGAAGATATTTCAAACTCAATGTGTTCCTAACTTAGTATTGCTAAACATATTATTGCTGCCTTTTCTGATCCCTGAAATGACTTCTTCATATTTTTTTGTTTGTTTGTTTTGGTATTGGGAATTGAACCCAGAGGCACGTCACCACAGAGCTATATCCAACCCTTTTTTATTTTGAGACAAGGTCTAAGTTGCTGAGGTTCTCAGCAAAATTGCCCAGGCTAGCCTCAAACTTGTAATCTCCAACCTCAATCTCCTAAATGCTGGGATTACAGGTGTGTACCACCACGCCCAGCAGCTCAAAAGATTTTATTTTATTTTTTAAAAATCTTTTTAGTCATCGATGGACCTTTATTTATTTATTTATATGTGGTGCTGAGAATTAAACCCAGGGCCTCATATGTACCAGGCAAGCGCTCTGCCACTGAGCCACAACGCCAGCCCCTCAAAAGATTTTAATAAGTGATAATCTGAGTTTGGTGAGACAGCATTATCCTACAGCTAATAAGGAAGGGTGTCGTTGTTATATATCTAGAAGTTGTTTTGGTATTCCCATTTAAAGATCTATAAAAATATTTACATCCTTGGTCCAAAACTTCTAAATCTGGGAAATTATTTTAAGAAAACAGAAAGGCAGTCAAAGTATGTTTATTATAAAGTTATCTATAATCTCAAAAGTTAGGGAAATTCTGAATATTTATTGGGCATATACTTTTTTAAAAAATATTTAATTTTTTAGTTATAGGTGGACACAATATTTTTATTTTATATTTATGTGGTGCTGAGGATCGAACCCAGTGCCTCATACATGCTAGGCGAGCGCTCTTCCTCTGAGCCACACCTCAGCCCCTGGGCATATACTTTTTAAATTTTTTTTTTAAATTATAGATGGACACAACACCTTTATTTTATTATTTTTATGCAGCACTTAGGATCAAACCCAGTGCCTCACATGTGCTAGGCAAGAGCTCTACCACTGAGCCACATCCCCAGCTATTAAGCATATACTTAAGTACTTTAAGTAATCCCCTCAAGTCTCCCTACAACTATGAAGTACAGAGTAAGAATATCCCCATTTTTTTAAAAGAATTTTTTTAGTTGTAGATGGACACAATATCTTTATTTTATTTGTTCATTTTTTATGTGGTGTTGAGGATCGAACCCAGTGCCTCACATGTACGAGGCATGCACTCTACCACTGAGCTACAACCCCAGCCCACAATATCCCCATTTCACAGATGAAGAAGCAAAAGTTCAGAGGGTAAACTTGTCTGAGGACATCCAACCAACAGATAGTGAAGAAAAGATCCGAACCCAGGCAGTTTTACACCAGAATCTCACCATTTTTTCTTTCTTTCCTTTTGGTAGTACTGGGGATTAAATCCAGAGTCACTTTACCTCTTAGCTACAAACTCAGTTCCTCTTTTTCTTCTTCTTCTTTTTTTTTTTTTTTTGATACCAGGGATTGAACTCAGGGATGCTTAACCACTGAGTCACATCCCAGCCCTTTTTTGTATTTTATTTAAAGACAAGGTCTTGTTGAGTTGCTAAATTGCTGAGGTTGTCTTTGAACTTGTAATCCTTCTGCCTCAGACTCCTGAACCTCTGGGATTACAGATGTATGCCACTGCGGCCAGTTCTTATAAGCATTTTAAAGGCAGAAACAGTCACACTTACTTTATGTACTTATTTATTTATTTTTGCCGTACTAGGGATTGAACCCAGGGACATATTCTCATTGAGCTACAACCCTACCCTTTTTCAGTTTTTGAGATAGGGTCTCGCTACATTGCCCAGGGCTGGTCTCCAACTTCTCATCCTCCTGCCTCAGTTTCTGAGTAGCTAGGATTATAGGAGTGTGCCACTGCAACCAGATCATTTTATTTTTTAAATATTTACTCTAGGATATAGAATCTGTCTACAATCTGTTCTGAATAAAAGCTTATTGGTGATAAAACATGTCTATCTCAGCCCAAAGTCCAGCATCCTAATAGAAGCATTCCTAGTAAAGTCAGCAACAAGACAAGGAGGCCCACTGTCACCTATGCAGCACATTAGCCAATAGAATCAGGATAGAGAGAGAAATTGGAAAAAGGACCACTGGAAAGTAGATGGTACCCTTGTCATCATATACAGATAATAATAACAGACACCTGGACAATATCAAAGAATAAACTGCAAAACTATCACAACAAGAAGAGAATTCCCAAGAATAAAGTTATACAATATTAGAAATCAATGATTTTCATATACACAAAACCAGTACTAGATATAATGAGATATAGGACTCCCATTTACAGCAGCATCGACAATATGAAATGAGGTCTGGGGACGTGGCTTAAGTGCCCCTGGGTTCAATGCCATCCCCCCAGAAATCAATATATAAAAAAAAAAGTGGCTGGGCATGGTGGCTCACGCCTGTAATCCCATCAGCTCAGAAGGCTAAAACAGGAGGATTGAGTTCAAAGCCAGACTCGGCAACAGTGAGATGCTAAGCAACTTAGTGAAACCCTGTCTATAAATAAAATACAAAATAAGGCTGGGGATGTGGCTCACTGGCCAAGTACCCCTGAGTTCAATCCCTGGTACCCTCCCCCAAAAAAGTGCACATATACACACACATAAATATAAAATGAGGTGAGCAGGATGTAATTAAGGGGTAGAACACATGCTTAGCACACATGAAAAGTACTTAATCCCTAGCACCCCCCCCAAATATATGTATATAATTATAATATAAATATATGTATCTATACCACACACATATACATACCATGAATAAATTTATATAATAATAATAAAAGAAGTATTTGGGGCTTGAGGTTATTCACCTTCATGAAGGGATTAATGCCCGGACTGGTTAATTCTCTCAGAAGTGAGTGAGTTTTGCTCTCATTTTTGAAAATGAGTTTGGCTTCCTCAGTTCTCCCTTGCTTTCTCTCTCTCTACGTGACCCTCTACCCTTCTGTTATGTTATGACACAGAATAGGACCCTCACCACATGCCCTTTGACTTCCCAGACTCCAGAACTGTGAGTCAAAATTAACTTCTATTGTTCATAAATCATCTAGTCTCAGGTATTCTGTTACAGCAACAGAAAATAGACTAAGACATGTTAGAACAATTTTTAGCCTTCTGGGGAAAAAAAAGTATGCTTTATTTGCACGGCCAACCTTATAACAGGATAAATTCCATATGGCTCAAAGACTTAAGTATGAAAAAAAACCCACAAAAGTTCTCAAAGAAAATATGGAAGAATGTATAAACTTAGAGTATAAAAGGCCTTCATAAACCTGACTCAAAATACAGAAGATATAAAAGAAAGATATATATACACACACACACACACACACACACACACACACACACACACACATATTTGATTACAAAAAGATGAAACTTCTACAGGGTGGAAATTACCATAAGCAAAGGCAAAAGATAAATGACAAAATGCAAAAATGCAAGACAAGAGGGTAATCTATATAATATATATCAAGCTTTTAAGAAATTGATAAGAAAAATAATAATAATCTTAAAAAATAGGACAAAGGACAGTTTGCAGAAAAAAATACAAATGTCTCTTAATCCTATTATTAAAGGATGCTCAACCTCCCTCATAAAAATATAAACACAAATGAAAACTACACTGATGGGTCATTTTTCCCTCTATTCATTAAACATCTGAAAATTTGGCTGGGAAGAGAGCACTTGCCTAGCATGCATGCAGCTCTGGGTTTGATCCCCAGCAGTGCAAACAAACAAAATCCAAAATTTGATAATATTGACAAAGCTTTGGGAAAACACTCAGTCATTGCTCTCTATCTCTGGCACTCTCAGTCACTGATGTGGAAATACAAAGTGGTACAAGCCCAAGGAGAGCAATTTGGCAATAACTCTCAAAATTACAAATGCACATAATCTCTGACCCAGCAATTTCACTTCTGGGAATTTGTCTCTACAAGTATGCTACCACATGATCAAAATGACATATGAATATGGTTATTCACTGCAGCACTGTTTGTAATACCAAAACATCCATCAAGCTGGGCATGGTGGCACATGCCTGTAATCCTAGTGGCTAGTGGCTAAGAAAGATCACAAATTTGAGGCCAGCTTCAGCAACATGTCTCAAAATAAACAACAACAACAACACAAAAAGAAAGGGCTAGGGATGTAGCTCAGCGATAAAGCACCCCTGGTGCTTTCAATTTCTTGTACTGTGGAAAAAAAAAAGTGTCCATCAAAAGAGGATCGTTAAAACAATTATGCTACATCCATATGATGAAATATTAACAACTCTAAGTAAGGATAAAAAACACTACTGAGGGCTGGGGATGTGGCTCAAGCGGTAGCGCGCTTGCCTGGCATGCGTGCGGCCCGGGTTCGATCCTCAGCACCACATAAAACAAAGATGTTGTGTCCGCCGAAAACTAAAAAAAAAATAAATAAATATTTAAAAAAAAAAAAAAAAACACTACTGATATAGAAAGATGGCTATGATACATAATCTTTAAAAAGGCAAAGTATAAAACAATACATGTGTCTATGTATGTGTAAAATAAGGTTAAAAAAAATTGGGAGCTAGGGCTATAGCTCAGTGGCAGAGTGCTTACCTAGCATGCGTGAGGCATTGGGTTTGATCCTCAGCACCACATAAAAATAAAGAACAAATAAAATAAAGGCCTTCTGTCCATCTACAACTACAAAAAAATTTTTTTTTAAAAATTGGAAACTCTCCAAGGGTTAACCAAAAAACCCAGAATAGTAGCTGACTGTTGGGGCCTGGGAGACAGGAGATAAGAATGGGATAGAGACTTTATGCATTATTTTAAAAATATTTTTTGAGTTCTGAATCATATGAATATATTCAGAAATAAAGTATTTTAAGTTTGTCAAATAAATCAGTGAAGTATTAACTATCAGTCTCATACTTAACCAGATCCAGCCTACAATGCAAGATTAAAATATGTTACCAGCCATAACGGTGCATACCTGTAATCCCAGCAAATTCGGAGGATGAGGCAGGAGGATGGAAAATTCCAGCCCTGCCTCAGCAACTTAGCGAGGCCCCATCTTAAAATAAAATGAAGTAAATAAATAAAGGTCTGGGGATGTAGCTCAGTGTTAAAGTGCTGCTGGGTTCAATCCACAGTACCCAAAAGAAAAAAGAAAAAAAAAATTATTAAAATATCCTGTGAGCTCCCAGAGTGATACAAGTCTGTTTCTTTACTTAAATCAAGATTCATGCACTACATGAAAACAAGCTGACCTTCAGTTGTGAAAAGTAAAGAAGCTGTATTCCTATTGGGAGAGAGAGAGTAATGGGGTGGGGTCACAAGCAATGCGGGAGAACTAATTCCAGCTGAATAGCTCTTTTATTTTCTAGTGTGATTATCAATCTGGTTAATGGCCTGATGGTAGGCATGGAAAGGAAGAACAGTCACAAACAGTCAATGGTAAATAAATCCATGGGCTTTGATGGCTGGTTGGCTGTGGAAAGCTAAACAGATATAAAAAGACAATAGGGGCCAGGCATGTGGTGAACACCTGTCATCCCAGCAGCCTGGGGAGGCTGAGGCAGGGAATTTCGAGTTCAAAGCCAGCCTCAGCAATAGCGAGGCTCAGTAAGACCCTGTCTCTAAATAAAATACAAAATAGAGTTGGGGATGTGGCTCAGTGGTTGAGTGCCCCTGAGATCAATCCTCAGTGCCAAAAAAAAAAAGACAACAGGGGCTGTGGTTGTAGCTCAGTAGCAGAGCGCTTGCCTAGCACAGGTGAGGCTCCGGGTTCCACCCTTAGCACCACATAAAAAACAAATAAAACAAGACATTCTCTGAAATCTTGGACAATTAAAAATAAAAAGACAACAGTATCTTTTAAAGCCTAGGTGTTCAGTGGTAGCACTAAAAATCGGAAAGTCCAGAAGAAATGGCTTAGAGGAAAAGCAATGCCGGTTGTAAGTGCATTTGAGGTGAGAGGAAAATCAGTTTGAGGTGGCTGGAAAGCCACTGGAAATGCTGATCTGAAATTCAGAGGGACAGTCAGACTTGAAGACAGGTGCAAGAGACATCTACAGATAGTGATTGGGCTGTTAGCGGGGATGAAGGGGCTGAGTGGAAACAAGCGCTAAGATGAGAAACTGGAGGATCGCCCATGGCCACAGAGTAGGATGGGCAGGAGAAGCCAGCATCACAGAGAATTATAGGCAGAATTAGGAGAGCTTTGTGACATGTTAGTGAGGGGTGGGAGTTTTAAGAAAGACACAGTGTAAGGGCTAAAGGGTTGAGGGACAATAAAAACAGTAGCAGTGTTCATGGTCTCATTTAATCCTCACATATAGCAATGAGTCAGGTAGATGGTATTATCACCCCCTTGTTTTACAGAACAGGCCATTAACCCAGACAATGACTCCAAAGTTGCATGACATAACTTTGGGAGATCAGAATTCTGATGCTATTTCGCTATTTTTTACACTAACTTAGCTATATGTCTGTAAGGCAAGTAACTGCCTCTTAAGGCTTCATTTCCTTCCTGGCATATTGAAAGGATTGGTGTAGATCATCTTCAGTTCTTTGCAACGTGAGTCTTGAATTAAGACAGAATGAAAGAAGTTCATACACAAGAGACAGACCATGAATTAAAAATCTAGCCCACATTCAGAAAAATATGCTACTTTTTTTTTGGGGGGGGGATGGGTACTAGGGATTGAACACAGGTGCACTTAACCATTGAGCCACACCCCCAGCCCTTTTTATTTTTTATTTTGAGATAGGGTCTTGCTAAAATTGCTTAGGGCCTTGATACGTTGCTGAGGCTGGCTTTGAACTCACAATCCTCTTGCCCCAGCCTCCAAGCTTCTGGAATTATGGGTATAAACCATGGGGCCCAACATTATGCTACATCTCTTTTAAGAGATCAGTGACAGGCTGGGGATGTAGCTCAGTGGTAGAGCGCTTGTCCAGCATGCATAAACTCTGAGTTCAATTCCCAGTACCTGCCCCCACCCACTAAAAAAAAAAAGGAGGTTTATCAAACTGGGTTCAGGAAGCTGAAGCAGGAGGACTTCAAATTCAAGTCCAACCTGGAAAACTTAGCAAGACCCTGTCTCAAGAAAAAAAAAGTCCAGAGAACAGGGGAGCTGGTAGTGAAGGCTAGCAGGTATTAGGACTTGGGTGCATCCCCAGATCCATAAGAAGAGATTAAGAAGGGGCTGGGATTGTGGCTCAGCGGCAGAGCACTCGCCTAGCACGGGCGGAACCCGTGTTCGATCCTCTGAACCACATAAAAATAAAGGCATTGTTTTGTGTCCATCTACACTTAAAAAAAAATAAAATTAAAAAAAAAAATAAAATATATATATATATATATATATATATATATATTAAAAAAAGAGAGATATAAGACATTAGTCAAGATAAATTATCCTTTAAGGATAATTTTTTTACAATAAAATCAGCTTAGATTTTATTGTTAAATAAATCTGAATGATAAATATTCTAAGTTTTTTCTTCTTTTTTTGAGACAAAGTCTTGCCTAGTCTGTCTCAAACTTCCTGCCTCCACTGCCTGAGTAGCTGAGACTACAAGCATGCACCATCCCCACCCCCCGCTAGAATGCTGAATGTCTGATCCAGTGTATTTCCAAGCAATAAATTCATTTATATCTATAGTTACAAAAAAGTTGTGTATGTGTGTGAGGTGTAATATTTAATATTTAAGTGAGGTATAATAACAAGAATTATAAATTTTCATTTGTGGGTTGAAAATGCTGCAGCATGTCCTTAGCATACTCAAGACCTTGGGTTCAAACCCCAGCACCAAAAATTTATTTATATATATCTTTCTATATATATTTTCCCACATACCTGGAAATTTATGAATGCTGTTGTTGAACCCTGTTAAATCAGTCGAATGAAGTAAAAAAAGTAAAGATTCCAAGTGAAACAAAGTCTGTATGTGGAGAACTGTCCTGTAGAGAGAGAAAAGAGCTAGTTATAATGTACTTTTATAATAAGAGAAACATCTATTAAAATACATATTTATTTAAATAAATTATATGGGAGCATCTATAAGATCATTTTTCAGCATGTAAAAATAGATAATCTGGCATAGATTATTATTGGAAAATCATCTGGTCATCAATTTGTTCACTGAGATTAAACATATATATGTATGTGTATATTTACCCTCAATATTGAAGTATACAAAAGAGATATATACAATATTGAATAAATCATGACAAATTGAAAGCAAACGCTTTTTTAAATTTTTTTTTTTTTAGTGTCGATGGACATAAAACTTCATTTATTTATTTATTTACTTACTTATTTATTTTATGTGGTGCTGAGGATAGAACCCAGTGCCTCCTGCATGCAAGTCAAGCACTCAACCACTGAGCTACAAACCCAGCCCCTAAAGCACTTTTTAACTTTTACAATAAAATAAACTTCTTAAGATGACAGACTTTTCAAAGGCAGGACAGCAGACACCACCAAAACAAAACATTAAGTCCTCTTGCCCTTTTCCTTCAAGTGGCATCAGCATGATTTACAAGAGAACAGAATACAATAGCTTTAAGGATTCAACTTGAAAAATTCAACATATCTTAAAAGCAGTATAATTCTGAGGGAAGTAGGGAAAAAAAGTTCTATTCTATATGGTTCAGAATGCCTACAAGTCACTCAGATCTTTCATATAACTCTTTCAATTTGCCAGACTGTACCAGAGTGTACCACGTTTTGCAACTACAGATATGATAAGCAATGTTGTTTTAGAAAGCAGTTTCACCCAGGAAGGAGTTGTACACACCTGTAATCCCAGTGACTCCAGAGGCTGAGGCAGGAGGGCTGTAAATTTGAGGCCAGCCTGGGCAATTAAGCAAGGTTCTGTCTCAAAATAAAATAAAAAGGGATAGGGTATAGCTGAGTGGTTCTATCCAAACCTTTCCATAACAAAGAAAAAACATTCTAATTTTTGCATGGATCATTATGGTTTTGTTAATGTAGAGTTCTTTATTTCCATAAGCACTGGAAAAATGAATTTGATGTAAACCAATTAGTTAAGCTAAGAATTCTCACCAAAATAATGTTGACTGCATTCATAGAATCACTTTTTTTTTTTTTTTTTTGGTGGTAGGGAATGAACCCGTGGTGTTATACCAGTGAAAAACATCCTCACCCCCTTTTAAATTTTGAGACAGGATCTCACCAAGTTTCTGGGTTGGCCAGAACTTATGGTCCTCCTGCCTTCGCCTCCTGAGTCATTGGGATTACAGGTATCACTCTTTTTTTTTTTTTTAATACTTTTTTTTAGTTGTAGTTGAACAAAATACCTTTATTTTATTTATTTTTTTAATGTGGTGCTGAGGATCAAACTCAGCACCTCACACATGCTAGGCAAGTGCTCTACTGCTGAGCCACAACCCCCAGCCCCCAGGTATCACTTTTTATAATAATTTTTTCAAATTACAAAAATATTATGTGCTTATAAAAATACAGTCAAGTATTAAAAAAGCCAGTTGAAAATTTAAAATTTTTTGAAATTTTTAAATAAACAATTTATTTTTATTTTATTTTGGTACCAGAGATTGAATCCAGGGGTGCTTAACCACTGTGCCACATCCCTCAGCCCTTTTTTTTATTTTGGGACAGGGTCTCACTAAGTTGCATAGGGCTTCACTAAGTTGCTTAGGGTCTTGCTAAATTGCTGAGGCTGGCTTTGAATTTGCAATTTTCCTGTGTCAGTTTGCTAAGCCCCCTGGAATTACAAGCATGTGCCACTGTATCTGGTTGAAATAAACAATTTATAATGATAATTTTAAAATAATTTTACAAATAATTTATTACTTTATAATTTATAATTAGTTATAATTATTATTTATGGGGTATAAACTGATGTTATGTTTTTGCAATCACAGTTGTAACAAGTATTGTTATTTCAAAAAGCAGTTTCAGGGCTGGGGTTGTGGCTCAAGTGGAAGAGCGCTTGCCTAGCATGTGTGAGGCACTGGGTTCAATTCTCAGCACCACATACAAACAAATAAATAAATACATAAAGGTCCATCAATAACTAAAAAATAAAATAAAATAAAAAGGAATTTCAGCTAGGAAGGAGTTGTGGTGCATGCCTGTAATCCCAGTGACTGGGAAGGATGAGGCAGGAAGGATGAGGCTAGTCCTGAACTTGCAATCTTCCTGTCTCAGTCTCCCTGATTGCTGGGATTCCAGAGGTGCATCACCATGCCCCACAGAATCTGCCCCCCCCCCTTTTTTTAGTACCAAGGATTGAACTCAGGGGCAAATGAACCACATCCCCAGCCCTTTTTTGTATTTTATTTAGAGACAGGGTCTCACTAAGTTGCTTAGGACCTCACTAAATTGCTGAGGCTGGCTTTGAACTTACAATGCTCCTTGCCTCAGCCTCTTGAGCCACTGAGATTACAGGTGTGCACCACCATGCCCAGCCATTTCCCTCTTTTCAAAGGCTAAATAATATTTCATTGTGTACTCAATATCACATGTTCTTTATCCATTCAACTTTGATGGGCACTCAGGCCAACATGGGAATGCATGAAATGACTTTTAATTGAGATCCTGAAAACACCACCAGAGAAAAGTAGAACTATTCAAATATTTTTTCATCTACTTTCTCTAATAAAAACAAAGACACCAATTACCTATTCCTGAGGGAGTCTGAATTCTGGCAACTCAAAACTGTTCAAAACACTGCTGACACAGAGGTTTGGGAAACAATTTCTAAGTATCAACCAATAGAGAAAGTAGACAAGATGATCAGAGCATTCCATAAAACGTAATGGGATTTCTTCTTGGATTGGCAAAGGTTATTAGGGGAAAACAAACTAACAAAAACTCCATCAATGTCTCTACAGCTGGGAATAATATGAGAAACAAAATGAATCTTTTTTAAAATGTAGTGCTGGGGCTCGAACCCAGTACCTGCTAGGCAAGCACTATGACACAGAGCTACATTCCAGCCCCAAAAAGAACTTTAAATAAAAAGTCAAAAGCAGAGGGCTGGGGATATAGCTCAGTTGGTAGAGTGCTTGCCTCACAACACAAGGCCCTGGGTTCAATCTCCAACACCCTCAAGAAAGGGTTGAAGGGGCTGAGGTTGTGCCTTAGAGGTAGAGCACTGGCCTAGCATGTGTGAGGCACTAGGTTCAATCCTCAACACCACATAAATATAAAATAAAGATATTGTGTCCACCTATCACTAAAAAATAAATATTAAAAAAAAGGTTGAGAGGGCTGGGGTTGTGGCTGAGTAGTAAGTCGAGTGCTTGCTTAGTGTGAGGCACTGGGTTTGATCCTCAGAACACATAAAATAAATAAAGTTAAAAGAAAAAAAAAGCAAGCTGAGAGCAAAAGGTGGTAGAGGTGAGAAGCAACAAACCTCGGACATGGATTATCCACTGTGACATCAAGGTACAATAAGAAATAGAATTGGCTATGAAAGGGATTTTAGAAATCGCCAACAATTAAAACAGCAGGATTCAATTTAAGGATAAACCAGGATTCTGCGGTTTCGGGGAACAAAATTAATGTATTTTTTGGTGGTTGTTGTTCTGGGTTTTTGTTTTGGTTCCAGGGATTGAACCCAGGAGTCCTTAACCACCAAGCCACATCCCCAGCCCTTTTTAATATTTTATTAGAGACAGGGTCTGAGTTGCTTAGGGCCTTGTTAAGATGCTGAGGCTAAGTTTGAACTCGTGATTCTCCAGCCTCAGCTTCCCTAGTAGCTGGGATTACAGGCCACACCTTGCCATGCCAAAAGTTCATCTAATTAGAGTCCTAATTAGGCAAGAGGGCACTCAGAGAATGGTGTTACTTTGACAGCTCCACAACTTTGACAGTGTTACTTAAGAGCATATTAACTAGTTCGGTACTGGGTCTGCATGGTGCCCAGCAAAAACTAATTCTGTACCTTTTTAAGAGAACTGGTTGGGATTATGCATGCTAGGCCCTGGGTTCAATCCCCAGCACGGGATAGAGGGGGTGTAGAACTGCTTGTTGAACATTGTCTGTGCCCTTGACAGCTTTTACATGCTGGTGAAATTTCATTTTTAAGAATAATCACCAAGTTCTGCCCTGGAGGATATCAGAGTACCTTTGTGAATTCACACTAGCATCCTTTCTAACTTCCTATGGAAAGCTGAAAAGTACATTTCCCAGACTCCTTTGCAGTTAAGTTTTCCCATGTGAAATGGGGCCCATCAAGAAGAGTTATTCTGTTGCGATTTAGAAGACAAAAAAATCGAGGCAGGAACCATCTTTCCACAGTTGGGGCTGTCAATGCCAGCAAGCACATTTATGGAAATTTCATTGTCAAGAATTCCTTGGTTGTGAGGAGACAACTGTGACGAAGATGGCAATCACTATTTGGTGGGTGTTGAGGGGCAGCTGAGCAATAGCAGCTGATCCTCAACTGTTAGCAATGTCACTGACAGAATCCTGATTCCTTCCCTGGTGGGCCCATTAGGCAGTCTTGTTCTGGGATCATTTCTGAAGGCTTAACCTGGAGCCCCCTCTACACCAGGTCTTCTGATGATGTTATAAGCATCTAATTCTCTTTATCAAGTCCTCTTCTACTTAAGATACTAGAGTGGTTTCTGTTTTCTGCAGCTAGATCTAGACATTATATTGGTATCATCTACCTCAGTATTTAAGCAGGGGGGTGAGCGGTGACTGTGAGCTGCCAGTCAGGTAGCATACTCTGAGGTACACTTGGAATGAGACTGCCTGTGCGCAGATTCTGGCTCTCTAAGCACTAAAGGGGTGACCTGGAAGTTAGCTTTCCTGTGCCTTAGTTTCTTCATCTGTAAAATGGGGACAACTCAGAGATCTGTGAGACAGAGTAAATAAGAAGATAATCTAAATATAGTGCTTACAACAGTGCCCTGTTTATAACAAGCCCTAAATAAATGTTGGCTATTATCATCAGCATTATTATTATTAAATAAGCAAGCCACTTTAAAACACTGCTTTTACTTGGTAGAAAAGGCAAGCATTTTAGCATTTAAACACCACAAATTCCTTTTAGCTTTCAGAATGCTAATTTATACAGAGGTGAGCACAGCTGAGCACAGTAGCCTGCACCTGTAAACCCACTAGTCAGGAAGTTGAGGCAGGAGGATGGAAAGTTCAAGGCCTGGGTTGGTTTGCCAAAGTGTGCTCTGTTGATGAAAGGAAAATTGCAGATTCTGGAATAAAATTTTCCCCAACTATTCCGAAATTATAAGGATTTCATGTTGTACCTTATCCAACAGTGCCAGCAAGCAGGGGGATCTGAAGGTGACACAAAGCCTCTGCCAAACCCTCCATAATTCACATATGCAGCTGAGAGCCACAGAACTCAAAGCAGCAGGGATTTTCTGGAGATCGAGAAAAACAATTACAAAAAACCTATTTCATCTTTTGATTCAATAACTAATTTACACTGTTCCAAACTCCATACAGCTATACCCAATTTCTTTTCCTATATTTTTTTAAAGAAAAAAACTGTTTATTCTATTTTTATGATGAGGACAGATATCCAAACTGAAAGGTGAGATACATTCATTCAATTTGTATTTATCGCCCAGTGTGGTGATGCACACCTGTAGTCCCAGTGACTCTGGAGATTGAGGCAGAAGGACTATAATTTGAGTCCAGTCTCAGCAACTTAGTGAGTCCTTAAGCAAATTAGCAAGACTCTGACTCAAATTTTAAAAATAAATAAATAAAAAGAGTAAGGAGTGTAGTGTAGATCAATGGTAAAGTACCCCTGGGTTCAACCTCCTAGCACCAAAAAAAAAAAAATCAAGTATTTATTGGCTAGTGCACGCCTGTAGTATCAGTTAATTAGGAGACTGAGGCAGAAAGTTCAATGCCAGCCTCAACTACTTAGTGAGATAATGCCTTAAAATAAAAAATAAAAAGGGATGGGGATGTAACTCAGTGGTAGAGCACCCCTAAATTCTATCCCCAGTACCACACACACGTACATAAGTGGCTTCCACCACTTATTTATTTATTGTACTGGGGATTGAACCCTGGGGTACCAGAATACTCTAAACTGTTCACTTTTAAAGGCTGAGTTGTATAGTATGTGAGTTAGATCTCAAAATAAATAGCTAAGCACTTGACACTCATTATCTTACTTCAGTCCTCACAATGGCCTCATGAGGTAAACACTGCTGCGATTCCCCCTGTACAGGTAAAGAAATTAAGGCAGAGAAGATTAAAATGACATCTTCAAAACTACACAATGAGCAAGTGAGCAGACTAGAATACAGGTAGACTGCCCCAAAGTCAACAAGCCTAAGTCTCACTCTCCTCTGCCCACCATAACACGTGCAAACACCTCGCACACTGCCTGCCATGTAGTTAGGGCTCAATGAATCATAGGTATTACTGAAATGATGATCCACCTTGCACACCCAAAAGGACCTGAGAAATATGGGAGGATGGAACCAGGGGGAGAGGCAAGGACAAGAAATACCAACATATATATATGTGTGTGTATGTGTGTGTGTGTGTAATAAGAATTGTAATGCATTCCGCTGTCATTTTTTTTAATCAATTAAAAAAATAAAGAAATACCAACTTAAAGCCTAACGCAATTGTCGAAACAAGCAATGGTGAGGAATTTACTAAGACAATGGCAGTGAAGGCAGGAAAGCGCAAAAAGTAGGAAAAAAAAAATGAAGTGTCCTCTACATCGGCGTCAGCTACAACATTCATATCTACGGGACTTTAACATAAATTAGATGCATCAAGAAAAGCTGATTTTCAAGGCTGGGGTTGCGGCTCAGTGGTAGACCACTTGCTAGCATGTGTAAGGCCCTGGGTTCAATCCTTAGCGCCACATAAAAATAAATAAAATAAAGGAATCATGGGGGCTGGGGATGTGGCTCAAACGGTAACACGCTCGCCTGGTGTGCGCGGGGCACTGGGTTCGATCCTCAGCACCACATAAAAAATAAGATAAAGATGTTGGGTCCACCGAAAACTGAAAAATAAATATTAAAAATAAATAAATAAAGGAATCATGTTATTAAAAAAAAAGAAAGAAAGAGAGGCTTAATTTCAGAATACGTGACAGTCACAGAAATGGGTAATACATTTCAGATTTTGTTTCAGTTGATTTTATAAGTTGAAACAGCAGTTACGGGGCTGGGGATGTGGCTCAAGCGGTAGCGCGCTCGCCTGGCATTCGTGCGGCCCGGGTTCGATCCTCAGCACCACATACAAACAAAGATGTTGTGTCCGCCGAAAACTAAAAAATAAATATATAAAAAAAAAATTCTCTCTCACTCTCTCTCTCAAAAAAAAAAAAAAAAAAAAAAGAAACAGCAGTTAGACTAATTCACGTAAGACATCCGAAAGTCCAATGGAAACACTTTAAAGATCTCTAAGAGTTAAATATCTATTATAGATTTAAGAATATTACATAATTTAAGATTCCCATTAAGTTCAATGGCCTTTTAAAAGGTGGTTGGAAAAAACAATTACATATTTTAGGAACCATTAAGTTTGAAGGTCTTTGGAATAGAGAACAAAGACATGTTCTTCTCTGAGTAAACTGAAGAATTAAGTCTAGAAGACCACCTGTTTTTAGATAGACAGCATTAATCTAGAATTTACTGTGTCCCATCAGGGTCACTGAAATGAATCTCATTAGCCTCCTTAGCAAAAATTCCTGGATCAAAACTTTAGCTAATTGGAGCGGTCATTGTATTCTCTGGTGGATGAACATCTTTCGTAACTGGGAAGATTTAGAATTAAGTACTAAAACACTTAATAGCTATAGTTTACAAAATTCACATTACAACTTACTCCTCAATACAATAGTATTGAGGAGCCTTTAGAAGGTTGATAAGTCCTGGGGGTTGCCCTCATCTCATGGAGAGGAAGAATACCCTAATGAAAGGACTCAAGGACTCAGGAGTTAATTTGTCCCTTTTCATCCCTTCCCTCCCTTCTGCTATGTGAGGACACAGTATTCATCCTCTGGGAGAATGGAACAACAAGGTACCATTTTTGGAAGCAGAGGGCAGTCTTCACCTGACACAGATAGCACTGCCAAGGGCCTTGATCTTGAACTTCTGGGCATCCACAGCTGTTAAGTAATAAATTTCTCTTCCTTATAAATTACCTAGACTCAGGCATCTTATTGTAGCTGCACAAATGGACTAAGACAGGAAAGATCTAGAATTAAGTATAAAAACATTTAAAAGAATCAAAACCATAACTGGGAAAGCCTCGTTGAGATATTTGTCCAAAGCAGGTAACAGAGTCTCATGTGGGTGTCTGAGTGAAAAGTATTTCAAGCAAATGGAATGGCAAATGCAAAGGCCCTGAGGTGAACAGTTAAACATCAAAGGAGGGATGGAGAGAGCAATGGGAGATGGAGCCAAAAAGTGAGGGCAGATTATCAGAGGGTAGGACATGGTACAACCAGTTCCTGTAGGGCCTTGGAAACTATTAATGAGTCTTTGGCTTTTACTATGCATAAGATGGGGAGCAAATACTCAGTTTTGAGCAGAGAAGTAACAAAAACTTCCTTCCAGAGTTCAAAAAATTTATATCAAACCCTTTAAACATTAACGTACCATTATGTCACTGAAAGCGTTAAACCTGCTAGAAACTGTTATATCTATCTGGGGTGGCACAAACCTGTAACCCACTTGGGAGGCTGAGTCTGGAGGATTGCAACTTTAAGACCGGTCTAGCAAACTGGCAAGACCTACCTCAAAATAAAAATTTTAGGGCTGGGGCTGTAGCTAAGTGGCAGACTATTTGCCTAGCATGTGTGAGGCACTGGGTTTGATCCTTAGCACCACATAAAAAGAAATAAAATAAAGGTATGCTGTTCATATACAACTGCAAAAATTTTTTTTTAATGAAAAATAAAAAATAATGAAAAATTTTAAAAAGGGACAGTGGTAAGAGTGCTTGCTTAGCATGTTGGAGGCCCACGGGTTCAATGCCCAGTATTGGGGGAAAAAAGTTTTATCTTAAAATAAGATTTGAATGATAAAGATTAGTTGAGGTTTTTAGAGCTTGGGGAGAATGCTCCTCGAAATGCACAGCACTAAGGAGGCCTGGGGAGGCTCAGCTCCTGGCCTAGGGGTGAATCTCCACCCTTAGCATATATTTCTTCCCCAAATAGAATAACCAATAGCCTGATTGGGTCGTTGTTTTATGTGAAATTAAATGTAGATTCCGTATATGTGAAAGCAGTATGTTTACTACATAAAGTTCTGCAAATATAAAGGTTTATTAGGAATAGAGGTGATATTGGCGCGTGTGGTTTGGAGCCCACTAGGTGTGAATCCAATTCCAAACACGTCTTGGAAAGGTGTGGAATATGGCCACTGGTACAAAGATAAATAAGCACATCTGAACGGGAAGGGGGCCAAACCGCTAATTTACAAAAGAGGCAGTCTCCCCAGGTGGGAGACGCGTGGGTTCGGTTCAGTCACGACACAAATATTCGGGGCTCTGTACTTAGGAGATGTCGTGTTCTCCCTTCGGTTCTAAGCTCAGAACTGTCTTATCATGATATAAAACCACAGAATGGAGGACGCACGGAAAAACTCGGGCTGCCGCCCTGGCAGCTCTCTCTCCCGGCAGCGCCCAGCCTGGCGGCCGCCCGTCGCTGCGCCGGCAACCGGAGCCGGCCGCCGCTGACCCTCCGAGTGCGCGGCGCCCGACGGCTCCAGACACGCCCGGCACCGTCCCCGGCCGGCTTCCCGCCGCCACCGCCAGGAGGCTCCGCGCGCCTTCCCGCCTTTCCCCGGGGCCGGGCCAGGCCGGGCCGAGCCGGGCGGCGGGGCGGGCGCGGGCGGCGACGGTGCGGCCATTGTCCCGCAGCCCCTCCCGGGCGCGCGGGCGGGGGCCGGCCGGCGGGCGGGAGGCACGGGCGGGCGCGGGCAGGGGAGACTCGGAGCCGGTGCCCGCCGCCGCCGCCCGCCGCCCCTCGCGGGCCGGCCGGCCTCAGGCCGGGGCCGCCGCCGCTGCCCGCGTCTCCTTTGTGACGGTCCCCAGCCCTCGGAGCCGGCGCGCCACCGCCGCGCTGCGCCCCGGGCTGCAAATGGCGCCCGCTCGCCTCTGCGCCTCCAGCCGCTCTCGGGCCGGCGACGCCTGCAGGCGACGCGCCCGGGGCCGCGTCCCTGCGCCGCCCGCCGCAGCCGGCCGGGCCGTCCCAGCCCGCGCTGCCGCCGCCCGCGCCGCCGCCCGCAGCCAGGCTCGCGGGCCGGTCCGGCAGCCCCGACGCCCCGCCCGCCCTCCGCCCGCGCCGCGCGCAGCCACTTACCGCGGGCCGCGGCGCACCGGCCGGTCGCGCGCGCGGGCGGGGAAGGTTACTGGTTCTCGGCGGGGGAAAGACCCCCTTCCGAAGCCGTTCCTTTGCGCCCTAAAACAAGTAGCCCCAACGTGAGAGAAACAAAGGTATTTGCTGACGTGGGCGTTGGACAGAAACGCCCGAGGGCTGGGGACACAATTAAAGGGGCAACGCACAGATTTCAGGCACCAACCAGCAGCTTCGCCCACTCCCCCTGCCCTTGCCCACACCCCGCTGCACCCTCCAAAGGCTCTGGGGTGCCCAGATTCCCAGGCAATTGGCTGCGGATCATTATTTTAGACAAGAGCTTAATTTTAAAATTGTACTTTACGTTGGGAAAGGCGCCTCCGGAGGGCAGAAGGGCTGGATTTCTAGGATGTGGGGAAATTGGTTTAGGAAAGAGGGAGGGACTTAGGCGTGCCTACAATTACTGAATAAGTGCATGTGACATTATTGTACTTAAGTTTAGCAACGTCAAATGTAAGAAATTTCCACAGAATTTTCCCCGTTTATTGAAGCAGTTATTTTTGTCGGGGCTAACCTGTTCTAAACCTCTACAGCTCACAAGCATTTCTTTTGAACAAGAAAACCAGAGAGAGGCCGAGATAAAGAGAACATAATTCTTAATTAATATAAAATTCGTAGAAACAACAGATTTTGTATTTCCAAATACAAAAATTCATTGTACATCAAGCTTCTCTTTTGACGTCTCTAATATTTAGAATACCACATCAGGTACATTTGCTAAAATAGTAAATCACCAAATTTTCTTTTACACAAACAAAAATTCTATAAACTAAGTTTTTAGCTCCTTATGCTGGGGTCAGTTACTGAAAAGTACTGTATTTTAGTAAAACTAAAGAAAAAAAAAGATTCATTTTCAAAACCTACACTTATTCCTCTCCCGTGTCTTTAGCCAGTCATGTTAGACAAAGTTTATTACTTTGGTTTCATCAATAATTAGCTGTGCACTTTGAATATCACACTCTGTGAGAAGGATACAAAATATTTGCACTGTCTTTTTCTGTCCCTTCTATATTATTCTAGAGGTGCTTTGCTATTCATTTGTTTCCTGGAATTCTGAATAGGTAAATGGAAATACGTTGAAAACCACTAAGAATCAGTATCATTGAATGTGCTCAGCTGATCTGCTAGCACATTGAAGATTCCCTCAGAAAGATCTGGACATTGTTATAGCAAAAGTTTTGTTTGTTTTGGTGACAATTTCTGTGTTGACAATTTCAGGCTGGCCACTAACTTCCTGGGCTCAAGCCATCCTCCGACTCCCAAGCAGCTAGAACTATAGGCATTGGCACAAAAGGTTTTACCTTAGCCTAAGTGAAACAAAACATGCAAAAGAGTTCCACAAGTATGTTCTTCAAGAGAGTAAACTAGGTTGGTGATAAACGTTTTTTTTTTCCGATGAAGAAGTAATGGGAATTTTTTCCCTCACCTTCATCCTCCTAGCTTCAGGAGTTGGTGCTTCTCAACGCTGTTGCCCCTCCCTTAACCAGCAATTATTCTTTTAAACTCTGGGGTTATTTTTGAGGGGAATTGGAGAATCACCTCCAGTTCATATTCTTTTTTGGTGGTGTTGGAGATTGAACCCAGGGCCTTTCACACGCTAAACAAGTGCTCTACTACTGAGCTCTGCCCTGGGCCCCTTCAGTTAAAATTCTTAAGGGAGAGAATTCATTTTGATTTTATTTCAACACTCATTTTGGGTAAGGTGTTTGCTCTAGGTTCATGGAATGTAATGGTGATCTAAAAATCCATTTGACCCCTGCCTTCATGGAACTTGCAGTCTAGTTGGGAGACAGATGGTAATCAAATAAACATATAATTTGATCCCAGCTGCTTGGGAGGCTGAAGGCAGGAAGATCACAAGTTCCAGGTCAGCCTAGGCAGGGAGACCTGTTTCAAAAATTTGAAAAGGAATGGGGGCAGGGATATAGCTCTGAGGTAAAGTGTCCCTGGGTTCAGTACCCAGTACCCCTCTTCCATACATTGAAAGTATGATTCACAAATTGGATAAACCTGAAGGAAAGGTACCTAGTGCTATAGGAACATAGATGAAAGAGATCTGTCTTATGAGAGAGGGGACCTGTTTTGGGGAAGGCTTCCTGGAAGAAGTTATGTTGAGTAGAAATCTGGTGTAGAAATAAATAGGCAGAGGCATGAATGGTCAGGAGCATTCTGTCTAGAAGGAACAAAATGTACAAGAGTGCTTGGTGGGAAGGAATGTAGCATAAAAGGCTGACAATACCAGAATGCAGAGGGAGGGAAGGTGTCAGAGGATGAGGTGGGAGAAGTAAATAGGGATCAAACCAACATGGCTTTGTGGGCCATGTTAAGAACTTTGGAAGCCATTAATGTGTCTTAAGCTTGGCAGGGTGCATGTGACATGACGAGGTAAAGCATTTTGAAAAGATGACTATGTGGAGAATAAATTGGAAGGAAAGATGGATTACAGTGGTCCAGCTAAGAGATGATGGAATCTTGAACTATAGTGAAGACAGAGGAGATGGAGAGAGATGAAGAGATCAAGAGAAGTGGAGAGAGAACTATAAGAGATAATAAATAGGTTGACTGTGGGGAATGATGATGAGGCTAGTCAAAGACAACCCCTAGCCCCTTGGCTTATGGAACCTGATGGATGATGGCTCTGTTCACTGAGAGAGAAGACCAGAAGAAGATCAGATTTAAAAAGAATAGAAAAGCAACAAAGAAAATAAATCCAGCTTGGACATGTGAGATTGAGGTGTTCTTGGGCTACAGATTGGACATCTTCATTCTTTTTTATGCATGTCATCTGAAACTCATTTATATGTTTGGAGAATTCCTTAACCTTATGATTAATTGTTGGGAGGTAGTATCTGCCTTCTGCAGTAGAGTGTGAAAATGCCAATGACCTGCTTTCCCAGAGTCCCTTGCAGCTACAGACAAGAGCCAGGGTCTCCACTTTGACAATCAAAGATTTTTTTTTTTTTTTTTTTTTTTTTTTTGTGATGCTGGGATTGAACCCAGGACTTTGTGCATGCAAGCACTCTACTGACTGAGCTACATCCCCAGCCTGACAATCAAAGAATCTTTTCTGGCAATAGTGGCTGCAAGATAATATCCAGGTGCCACGATGCCAGGCTTCTAGTGGCAGTATCCACTGTTTAGCTCCAGTACTTTGGGATACAATCTTATGTTCTCAACACTGTGGAAAACAGTGTTGATTTTCCTCAATAGGCCAATTCTGTGATGTGCCTTTGGATACTCTTTCTGGCTGCTTGGCACAGTTTCCAACCCTTGTGCTCTGCCTCTTCCTGTGATTCTATGAACTTTGTTTTGTTTTGTTTTGTTTTGGGTACCAAGGATTGAACTCAGGGGCACTCAGCCACTGAGCCACATCCCCAGCCCAATTTGTATTTTATTTAGAAACAGGGTCTCTCTGGTTGCTTATTGCCTTGCTTTTGCTGAGGCTGGCTTTGAACTCTCAATCCTCCAGCCTTAGCCTCCTGAGCCACTAGGATTACAGGCGTGCACCACTGTGCCCATCCTGTGAACTTTTTTTTTTTTTTTTTGGTGGTTGTAGATGAACAGAATGCCTTTATTTTGTTTATTTTTATATGGTGCTGAGGATCAAACCTAGTGCCTCACACATGCCAGGTGGAGCGCTCTGCCATTGAGCTTCAGCCCCAGCCCCTGTGAACTTTTTTTTTTTTTAATATATTTTCAGTTGGTGACAGACCTTTATTTTTTATTCTTTTATTTATATGTGGTGCTGAGAATTGAACCCAGTGCCTCTCACATAAGAGGCAAGCACTCTACCACTGAGCCACAACCCCAGCCCTCCTGTGAACTTTTAATATATGCGTTTCTGCTTAAATCAGCCAAGGCCATCTGTGCACCTAAAAACCCTCATAAATACAAAATGGTAAGAAGGCAGATGAAAATATAGCTTGAAGCTTAATCAATAAAATTGAAGTAGTCTCTTTCTACTTCCAAGCTGTCATGAACTGAACAGTTTTCCTCACCATATCCTTCTGCCACGATGTTCTGTCTCACCTTGGGCCCAGAGCTCTAGAGTTGGCCAATCATGGATTGAACCTCTGAAACCATGAGACAAACTTTTTCTCCCCTAAAAAAATTGCTTGAGATAAAAATTTGTCACTGATATCAAGTAAATGATAAATTGCATAAATGGCAATAGGACTATGGATATGGACCAAAACTATAAAGTGAGGAGATGAAGGCTGTGGATCAAGCTGTGAGCAAGTCTACTGTTTAGTGCCTGGATAGAGGAAGGTGAAATTGCAAATGAACCTGAGAAGTGACTAAGAGTAAAGAAGAGAGTTAATGTGGTATCATAGAAGAGAAGAGAGTAATTTAAGAAGAAAAAATTATACAGCAGTTCAAACGAATACCCCTTTTGTACTGACCAATCACCCCTACCTAACTTGTTCCCGCCAGTGAATGTGCTAATCATGTTTTAGAGTTGTTGTTTGATTTTCCCGCAGCGTGAGGTGATTTGTTATGATGTATGTGAAGTCCCTGCCCTTTTCAAAGAATGTATATAAGCTCTGCTCAAGCTGTTCTGGGGCTCTTTGCTCTTTACCTCTTCGAGGTAGGCTTGGAGCCCCAGCATGCTGGACCCCCAATAAACCCTTTGCTGTTGCAAAAAAAAAAAATTGTACAGTAGAATTGTTAAATACAGCTAAAATAACAAGTCCAAGAGAAAATGTCTATTAGACTTAACAACTTAAAGATCTTTGGCTTCAGAGAACATTATTAATTTTGAAAGATGTGGGGGGTGGGGTCTGAGGATACAGTAAACAAACTCAGTTTCTTCTATACACTTAACAATTAACACAGAAGACTTCTAGGACCAGGTGTGTGTAGGATTTTACTCACACTAGCAGATTCCAGCTAGGTGTCCTCAACTCTGACACTATCAATCTGACACTATCTGCATGGAGATGGCATTAGATCCCACAGGTTGAGGGCTTAGTCCCAAGACTGTGCCCCACCTTCAGATGCCAATATGTTCTCTGAATTGGGGGAATGATGTAATGGTCATTGAT